CCGTCTTGAAATTCTTAATGACTGCAGGCCTTATTTTCTTTCCTCTTACGAACGTCTACGTTTTCTGGGGTTGTCTTGTGGTCTTCCCGCTTGCCGTTACTTGAACATGGGGAACTCTATTTTTTTTTTTTTTTTTTGCAACTGTCCTACGTTCCTCTATAATTCAGCCGTCTTACAAGGTTCCGATACCTCTGATCTCTCACTAAGCGATCAGGGTATGATCCTCCTTCGGCCTTCTATCGCAAGGTTTCTTACTCCTTGATCGACCCCTCGGTCAGGACCACACTCGTTTCCGTCCTCTCTCGATGAAATCGCAGCCGCTTCTCCTTTCTTTCACCTCGCCTCCTCTCCAGGGGGTTATTGCTCCTTTTTGTCTTCTTGACATTGTTTCACAGAATCGGTGATGTCACCCGAGGGAATAGGGATTAAGGGAGAAAGTTCTAGAACAGTTAAGACAAAAGAACAGAGGAGATACTAAGCCTAACTAAAATTAACAAAAATATATATAAAACTATGGCCGACGGCCACAGAGTCACTACGTTGAAATTAACGTGTATTTTAACAAATAAATAACACAGCGTTAGATTCCATTTGAGTATCTTTATTCCAAACATTCGTAACAGCTCGACATATCTGGACGGACCATTTCCTGAAAAATTCCTGGATTTTTGACCATCCGGATTTGATCTCGGGTTCCCCTAGAGCAGAGAAGGCCAACACGTAGACCGCGGTCGACCGGTCGACCGCAAAGGTCTTGAAAGTAGCCCGCGAAGCTAAAGTTGAACAACTTGCTTTCACTTAAATTAATGTTTAAAAATCTTAATTCGATAATTTATTCTTACAATAATAGACTGTCTGTGCAACGTATAACTTTAACGCCAACATCTCAAACCCCGCCACCTCCATCGAAGATACATATGACCGAATCATCAACGACCTTTTCCCGTGGGACGACCCAAGCACAGATAATAACAACCACAAGAACATCAGGAACAACAGCTATATACCCCCCGATACGGAGGATGACTGCCTATTCTCATACCAGGAAATCGCCAAGGAATTTCGGAAGCTTAATCTTCGCAAGGCGCCAGGGAACGACTACATCACCCCAAAAATGGCCAAGATGGCTTTCGAAGCTATTCCAACCACATTTTGTGTTATCTACAACAAGTGTTTACAAAAGGCCTACTTCCCAAAAGTCTGGAAAATCGCCTCAGTGAAACTCATCCCTAAGCAAAAGAACCCTACAAATTCCTCGGATTACAGGCCAATCTCCCTCCTCCCAATACTGGGCAAAATCCTCGATGGACTAATGACTAACAGGTTAACCTACCACTGTGAAAGAAACAACTATCTGAGTGACCAACAGTACGGCTTTAGGAGAGGTAGGAGCACTGTCATGGCCATCGATGCGGTCGTAAATTTTATCACTGACGCTAAGAGCAGGGGGGAGCACACCATGGTGGTTTCAATTGACTACAAAGGTGCTTTTGACCACGCATGGTGGCCTGCCATCCTTACGAACATCAAGGAATTCCGTTGTCCGAAAAACATCTTCAATCTCACAAAGAACTACCTGAATGACAGGACAATCACTGTAATTAACAACAAACAAACGCATCTGACCAAAAACATCAACAGGGGATGCCCGCAGGGCTCCCGGTCCGGGCCGTTCCTTTGGAACGTAATGTTCGACAGCCTCTTGAAGCTAAGGTCCAAATTTCCGGGAGACAGCAACTGTAACATATACGGATATGCCGACGACACTGTTCTGGCTATCTCGCACTGCAATCAGGAGATTTTGCAGGCCAGAACTAATGATATCCTTCGTGTGATCTCCGATTGGAGCCAACAATCTAAGCTAAAAATTAACCACAAAAAGTGTTGCTGCGTGGTGTTCCCGAAGACTACACCATTACATAAAGGCCCAACCATCAGGATAGAAGGGATCCGCATCCAAAACAGTGAAAAGCTTAAATACTTGGGAGTCGTCATGGATAACAGGCTCACGTGGAAACATCACGTGCATTACACCTATGAAAAGGCTGTCACCACTATGCATGCTCTGGCCTCAATTGCCCGGAACCGTTGGGGCTACGGTAGTGAGGCCTGCCGCCTTATGTACACGGCAGTTATCGAACCCATCCTGACCTACGGGTCAGAGGTGTGGGGTACTTCAATCAACAGGGTACACATCAAGCGTAAGCTGAGCTCGGCGCAGAGGCTCGCCCTGATTTCGATAACCAAAGCCTACAAGACGGCCCCAACGGATGCGCTCCTAGTGATAGCTAACCTTCTCCCGATTGATCTTGTAATCACGGAAAAAGTTTGGACCTATCAGCATCGTAAGTTAGCGAGCGGGCAAACTACCACTAGTAAATTTAACACCATAATGGACAGCCTAGTAGACAGCCAAGAAAAGGACAGGATAGTAAACTACATCAACTCTTACCATCTCGATCTGATCAGTCCCCCAGACCTGCACCACCCTTCTACTTCTATAGACAACCTTTTTGAGTTAAACGACTCTCTTACCCACACGGGCTACTGTGTATACACAGACGGCTCGAAGTCAGAAGCTGGGGTAGGCAGTGCCTTTGCCGTCTTCAACAATTGCATCAGTGTTCACCAAGCGCGCTATAGACTGGCGGACCACTGCACGGCCAACCAGGCCGAGTCGTTTGCCATGTTCAAAGCGCTCGAGTGGATTCATCAGAACAGAGACAAGTACAACCTAAAAAACATTAAGATCTTTAGCGACAGTAAAGTGGCCCTCCTCCAACTCAAGAATTTGAACACAAAGCATAACATTATCAGTAAAAGTGCCAGCATCATCTTCAAGATGGGGAACAACACGGACATCAAGTTTTCCTGGGTCCGGGGCCACACCGGTCTACAGGGGAACGAGAGGGCGGACCTCTTGGCCCGCACCGCACCTTCCTGGAACCACAATCTCTCATACCATAACACGCCGCTCACGTGGCTGAAGAAGACAATAAGGGAAAACATCTGGGAAAAGTGGCAGGCCAGGTGGGCCAACGGCACTACTGGACGGCTCACGTTCAGCTTCATCCCAAGTGTTAAGGACAGAAACCATTATAAACATTTTACGACAAACTTTAACATTACTCAACTATTAACCAACCACGGGAACTTCCGGGGCTACCTCAGGAGGTTCCTCAATAAATCTGATGGGTACTGCGACTGTGACGACAGGGAGGAAGAAGACTCCACACACATTTTATGGAACTGCCCGCTGTATTGTTCACAAAGAAAGCAGCTCATCGACACTATCCACAGCAACAACGACCATTGGCCATGCCATGCCCAAGAACTTATCAAAAATAAGACATACTACAAAGCCCTAAAAACTTTCGCTGCAGACATTAAGGTGCTCAGTTAGGGCAATGTATGCTTCTCGCCCAACCTCGAAGTGCTATGTGCATCGTCATCATATACCAAAAGTGCGTGATACGTGTGTTCAGTGTGCCTAATATTATGGACAACTCTTCAGGACTCTAAACTATAACTGTCGGGTCAAGCATTCTGTACATATTTTTACATGTATTGTCGCGCTTTACATCCACCCCCGCCTAGCGCTATTGCTTGTCGGTGGGCGTTTGTATATATTGTTTTGGAATTCTAATCACATATACCGCGCGTCCACTACCCTTATGTATTGCAATTTACACTTTGTTTATATTATTCGCGCCATTTCAATGTAATCTTTGTCAAATTTTATTTTGTACTCCTTTTGTAACTGTATTTAATGATTTAATAAATGCCGATGCAAGGCGCCCATGGTCCTACCCCCACTTTAAACTATCCTATCACACTTACCTTCACCTTCTCTATAAATTCTTCGACAAAACTTTCTTCTTATTTCACTTTCCAGTTCCGGGGCTATACCTCCGAGTGCGGCCCTTCTCATACCCCCCCCACGTGTCTGTGCAACGTAAATTAGAAAAACGGCTAAATTCGTTAGCCACGAAAGAGGACATCACTAAGCTTAGAGAAGAACAAAATAAAGGGGTAAACAACACTCTAACGGAGGTTAAATCGAGTCTTAGTAAATTCGAAAAAATAATTACTACCGATAAACCTAATAGGGACAAGCCTTCAACCTCGTCGTATAGTGACATCCTTAAACAGGGTATCTCCTTATCTCAGCCCAATGTCAACCCTCCCCCTCCGTGTTACACTGTTTTTTTTTAACAGATTTAAAAGCCTTTTATTAAAAGATAAAATCAATTTACAATATATATACAGGTGTTTGGAGAACAGAAACAATAGTGTTGATGGTACTTTGGAGTACTTAGCGCGGGTACACGGGCACTAAGCCAGCCAGATAAAGTACAGAGTGTGGGATTGTTGATGTTAAGTTGTCGCGTTATCAAGGGCTCATAGCCTGCCATGAAAGAGTGATTTACATAATGAACCATGTCGCGGGTACACGGGCACTTAGCCAGCTATTACCGAAGGTACATTGTTTGATTAATAATTTTGTCTGTTATGGCTGAAGTTGTTGTTCAGAACTTGGTTTTGCTGTGTGTTACCTCTGAAGCCGCTGAGGTGGGAGATGTATATCTCTCTGCTGCTTCTGATGGTGTCACTAACCATGAGCCGTTTCATCATCGTGGCATATCTTCTGGAAATGGCAAGTCTTCTCAGGGTGGCTTCGTTGGCTGGATCATAGCCTCCAAGGGCTCCTATGATGAAGGCATCTGTAAAAGTATTATAACCCTCACCCCTGAAGAAGTTGGTTAGGTCCTGGTATTTGTCCCTTTTTTCTTGTCTTGCCAGCGAGAAGGCTTCAGAGCCATTCTCAAAGGGAGTGGCTACGTCGATGATTGTGACTTCTTTGGCTGCCTCGTTGATAAGGGTGAAGTCTGGGCGACAGTTACCAGGGTACTCTGGAATTTGCTGATTTATGTAGGAACGGGCTCATCTGGTGTCTGTGGCCTCGACGAGTCTCCTTAGGACATTATTGTGTCTTTGCGTTATTGCCACCATGTTTGGGCAACAGTGGCAAAGTACATGTGTACATGTGCGAGCGTCTCGTTGTTATAGCTGCACCTCCTGCATCTTTTTGGCTGATTTCCGAATCTCCTATGCCCACGGAGGGGTACCACACTGAGGCGGGCACGGTGAACGAATCGCCAGTCGGCGAAGTGGGTGTATTTTCCTTCCTTCATGAAGTGGTTACTCTCCCGGCAAGCGCTGGTAATTTTATACGCCTTGCCCTGGTCGGGCTTGCGGTGCAGGGAGAGTAGGTGGTTCAGACGGATCAGGCTGCTAAGGGTGCTTGAGCAGGTTGATTTGTTAACTATGCTGCCGTTGATGGTGAGTATGGGAGAGCTCTCTCCTGGAGACCACTCAATAGGGATACGTGTCCTGAGTCGGCGGGTGGTGGCTCTCAGTCTTGTCCAGACTGAGCGGATGTCGGTGGCTTTCGATCCAAAATCTTCCTCCATCGATCCATTAAGATACGTGCAGATGTCTTCGGCCGTGGGGTCTCTTCTGATGCGCTTCTGTACAACAATTCTCAAGGCGTTGTTAGCAATAGAACTTACCTTGTCATCCCTGGAGTAAAACAGCCGTATGGCATGATTGATCTGGGCAAGGTCCGCCATGGTGTTGCACGGGAGGAAGTTTACACCGCCCTGATTGTAGGTGAGATACAAGTGTGAGGTCAGACGATTTGGGGTGAGGTGTTCGACAGCCGAGCGGTTCGTTCTGTCTTGTGGGCGCAGAATGACTCTTTGAGACAGGTTTACCATTTTTAACCCGTTTATTAAATATATAAATTTTCTTACAATGTCTTATAACGAGGCGTAATGCCTATTCAAAGGTGGGAAACGAATCCTTTCCAAAGATAAAAGTCCAAATGTCCAGATAGTCGTTTAGGTTCGTCCAGCGTAAGTGAAGCGGAGAGCGATGGCCCCGGGGCGCACAGCACAACTCTCATCGATGATCTCCAATGACTCGGAGCACCTGGGCGGGTCTTGAAGGGACGGGCTAGCCAAAACGAAGCCTGGGACGTCGAACTAGCCTTTGCTGTAGAATAACAGGAGCACAAAATTCCAGGAGAGGAGCGCTATGAACCAGGAACCTTTTTTCCTCGAGTCGCACGGTTTTATAGATTTCTTAACCGTCGTCGCCTCTCCATTGGTCTCTCATAGTCACCTGGTGACAATTCGAAACCTAATGAAGGGCGCGGGAGAGGTCACCGTGCGACTGAATATGATTCCTCTCTCTCGTCGCGTTTTCTTCGAATTTAACCGTTTCCATTGTTTAAAAGATTCCGGAAAAAAAACAATTGCATTGTTCAATCGAGACACCTAATCCGTTTCCTTATCGACTGAAAAGGAGCTCTTAATTTTCGATCGAACCCATAATTCGGACCTCTCAATCGACCCCTGTTCGGGTCCTCACACAAGTTAGTATACAACAACGACAAAACACAGTCCTCTGATCATGCTAGAAAGAAATTGATGAAGAAGGTCAAACACGAGAACTTAGGAATAGGAATCAAGAGAATTAGAAATATCAAGGGGTGGGATAGCGGTAGATTGTCCAGAGAAAAGATCTCGAAATTAAAGCACATTGGTTCAAGAATGGCGGACAAGTATCTTCCACTGATTAAAATAGCGAATGTCCCGAAGGAAATCAACGAAGGTGAAATTCTTCAATTTTCATATCAACAAACCGAGAAACTTAAAACTAACTACAACGAAAGGGACTTCTATCAAAACGCCAAAGTGAAATTTTCACTTAAGCAGAGAAACCCGGACTACATTTCCTGGATTATAGAGGTATCGCCAAGTCGCAGGAAAATCATTCATGAGGAAAAGAGAATTAACATTAAGTGGAATAGATGCCCTGTTTATGACTTTATACCAATAACCCAGTGTTTTAAGTGCCTAGCATTTGGTCATCGAGCTAACACCTGTCCAGAGCATCATCCCATTTGCAGCCACTGCGGTGGCGACCACTTGCGTGCCGATTGTCCCCATACTGAGAAACCACCAAAATGCATTAACTGTGTCAAAGGGAAAGAAAAAAGGACTGATCACAACTGTATGAGTAGGGAATGTCCTATACTTCATAGAACTAAGAGTGAAATCTCTCGAAGGTTTGAATACATCGCATAACTAATGTGGCCTCACTTTGCGTTCGGTCTCTTTGTCGGTTACACTTTAATGTAATCCGCTATCGTATTTTATGTTTGTCATATTAATATTGTCTCTTTGCTGTATTTTGTACTTACCTGTCGCTACTTGTAACTACCATCTGTTACATTTCGCTGTCTTACTGTATTCTTTACGTACCGCTCACCTTCTGTTCGTTCTCCACGCGCTTTTATGTACCCATCCGTTACTTCTGTATTGTTTCAACCGTCTTATATTAATTTTGTATCACTATTTTGTCTGTTGTATTATTTGTAATGCCGTCAATCCATGTAACTTCTCTGATCTCTATGTAACTTTACAATTATTGTCGCGCCACTGTTATCTGTAGTCATTGTTCTGTCCATCTGATTATATGTAACTGTTTCTATGTTTTAATAAATGCGATGCAGGGCGCCCATGGGTCCCATGACCCCAGGTTACTATTTCCCCTCTATCCTATCTAACTTTATTTCCCCTTCGCTCTAACTCCTTCCCAATCAACTCTATATCTTCCTCCTCTTTTTGTCTTTAAAACAGGCTATACCTCCGAGTTCGGCCTCGTTTCTTTCTCAGCACTGTCTGTGCAACGTACCCATACTGTTTGTATTTATCCCAATGAACAATGCAAATTAAAGGTCGACAGGGTGAAGATATAAAAGGGGGGTCATGTGTCATATCTCTTAATAAATATTTTACTCGTTATTAACGTTCAAAATTTAAAAAAATAAAATAAAACTCGTCACTACCCTCAAAGTAAGCTTTTTTTGTCATCTTATAATAGTACTTAAGATGTTCTCGCCTAAAATGTTAGAATGTATATGGGGACACGATTTAGTTCAACCACTTTCACGCTTAATAATTAACTCCTGTGTTAAACCATCTGACTTCGATTCTGACCACTCTGATCACAAAAATTATTAGGCTTCAAACAGGGTGAACAAAATCATGCTCCCCCACACAGTCTAACATCCACACATATAGAAAAACCTCGAATCTTTTGCATATATCGAAATTTCAAGGTATCCTGCGTCCAAAAATATTTGGG